CAGTCTCACCCACACAGGTTTTAATCCACAAACCTTATATTGTTGTGTTTCCTCGTTTGCATATTCCTGTAATTAAACAGAACAACAAAAAAAGGTCAAAGCCACTCAAGAATACGTAATGGCCTTATGGGGTTAATGTTTGAGTGGTCCCTCTTTTTCTTCTAAATTACAGCATTAAATGATTTCACAACATGTTTTAAAAACACAAATTACGCAGCTAATTTATGACTTATTAGCTTACTTTGTTTTGTAATATGACATTTTATTCCATTTTGTTTTAATCTATTTCTGTTTGCTCTGTGTAATCTAATTTCAGACCCATTAAGAGAGGAAGGTTGCAATGGACACTAGTGGACACTTACATACATCCAGCCCAGTTTTGTATCACAGTTCTTGCAGAAAACATCCCGCACCATGTGCCTCCCAGTAAGCTACAAATAATTATTACGCAAAACCATTCAGTACAGTAAATAGACAGCAATCTAGGACAATACCGTGCAGTATAAGCTGATCAGACTGAAAAAGGATTTCAAAAAGATTATAAACTATATTTAGCTGTAAGATTGAATGGTCTGCTGCTGGAGCCTTGCAAACTATATAGTTATACTTTTGTTGTACATGAGGACTCTGAGTGCGTCTGCAGGGATCAGAGAATACAAATGAGATATTACTGAAACTGTTTATAATTTACGTTCTATGTCTTTTTTTTCTTACATTGCTTCTTCAGTTAGGTAAAGACTATGTTTTAAGATAAGAACTACTGAGAAAACAAAATATATGCATACCATTACTCTATCTTGAACTTCACTGTATGATAAATTGACCCTGTTGAAAAGATGTTACTGGGGTTTAAAACTCTGCTGACAGTCTGACACAGCTGTTTAGGTTCAATTTGTCTATCCTGTTAGCAGAATTCCCTTTAGCCATATAATAAATTGCTTTAAAACATTTGGATGTAAAATACACCACTTCTAAAATTCATAAGAAACGGGTGTCTGGAAAGCCCGAATAGCGAATAGCAAATAGTGCGAATAGTGGCGAACAGTCTCGAATAGTGGTGAATAGTGGCAAATAGTGGCAAATAGTAACAAATAGGGTACCCAGTATCTTGCAGTAAACCTCGTAACAACTTAGGATGGGATTTTTCCACTAAAAAGCACAGACGCTTATCAGGACAAAAGGTGTTTCTAAATGTAATTTCTTCTGTTTTAACTGCTGCAAAGCGTAAATATGTCTTTATTAGGTCATCCTTGCGTTTTCTGTTTTCCTAATGTCAGCGATGGACAGTCTACTAGCCTGAGTCCGGAGAAGAAAAGGCAATAAATTCACTGAAATTCTGTTGCTTATTTGGAAAATTAATTAACGCTGGCTATTAGATCTAAAGCGGTGACTATTGACGAATATTCGTCACTATTCGCCACTTTTCGCGACTGTTCGCCACTAATTGTACTATTTGAGACTATTCGCACTATTTGGTACTATTCGCTATTCGTGACTATTCGCTATTTGCTATTCGGGTTTTCCAGACATCCATAAGAAACTTCATCTGGGACCTGCATAGCTGGGTGACATATCTTCCTTATCCTTACTATAGCTAGTGAGGGTCTATGTCCTCACTAGTAAGGATACTGATGACATAATTTCCCACTTTCTGATGGTTGATTGTACAAATAGTCAGTTTGTCTACATAATAAAGAGCAAATTACATAGTGGCTTAAAAATATTAATTTGAATTTTGAGTGTTATGAAACAATAAAATTTTTAATCCCAGACAGCTGCACTCGTTTGTAAAATTTTTGTTTTACCTCTTGAATATAAAATTTATATCTTTGCACCACCATGTAATATTCTCTGTAAAATTTATTTTTGACAAAAACCTATGTTTATAATGATGTAATTATGTAAAGGACACTCACACTTTTTTGAACAGGAATGCTCTTCCAGTTGCTCCATTAAACCTCTGATCATCAAAATATCAAAAAAAGCATTAGTTTTACCTGTCCAAGAAAAGGCTTGATTAAAATCAGGAATAGACTTCTGGGCATTTAACAAGAAAGTGGAGCCATCAAAGGAAAAGCGTCAATGTTGAGAAGAAAGTAGATCTGTGATAGATGGCATGCACAGAATCCCTTTTATATACGGTTTGAAACTCTCCTGGTGGTAAACTACCCTTTGATCAGTTTTCAATTAGCGACCCATTATTGCGCAGAATTCAATTGCATGCATGTAATTAGCGGCACTACAATGTCAATTATTAGACACCCAATGAAATTCTGTTCATTTTAAAAGAAATTAGTCTTCAAGCTTATGTTAATGAAACTTATGTAAAGTACATCTCAATATAGGTATTAAGTTACCTTGAAAACAAATCAAGCGATCTTTGTTTACTCTCTTTTTCCCATCGATTCTCGANCAAATTCATGAATTCGGTAGTTCCCAGTCCTTGTGAGACAGCCATATAATAAATGTTTTTTAGTGACTATAGAATGAGGGTTATTTATATTGACAAGAAAGAGTATTTTACATTTGTACACCGTAAAAATGCTCATCTTTTACATTATATGAAGAGCCTTCAATGTACAGTCAACACACTTTCATACCTGTCTCACACATACAGCAAATTACTTGCTTGAGGTGGAAAGAGTATGCATTTGTAACTAAACACTTGCAATTTTCCTGTATCTGTGTTATCCACAGCTGGCTGGAACAATTGATATGAACCAACAAAGTGACATTATGGCAGAGTTTGAAGGAACAATGAGCTGAAGTTGTGTTCAAAGAGAGAATTGACCATATTGCGCCATTGCGGGCAACTGAATTGTCATTGCAGCCACATTCTTAATTGGATAAAGGATGCAGAAAGCAAGTGTTCATGTACTAAGCCCCCAGCAGTCAACACTTCTACAACTAATTAAGGACCACAGGTTCAAGATATCCCATGAGCTGGCATTTATAGAAGATCTAATGAACCTAAAAGTTTGAATGAATGAACAATTTTTACCTTATTTATAGCTTTTATATGTTCCTGATTGCATTGATCCTAACAAAGGAGTTTTTTCAAAGACCTTATAATACTGAATTCTGCCATAGCTGATTAAAAAGTGTCAGAAGAAAGAAAGCAAACCATTTTCACTGTAACTGTCTGTTACTGAGAGATCTTGTTAATACTGACTAACAACAGAAAGGTGTTAGTGGTAGAGGAGTGAATTTATTGTTTTGTGTGTATTGTTAGAAATTACAAGGTAATTCTTTGTCTTGTGTTCCTGTAATTTGACAAGTTTTAATAAGAAGGAGTGGATGCACTAATGATAGCTGGATTATCTACATTTTTTACTCTTTTTTTGTAGTTTAAAACAATGTTTAGTAGAGGACTTAAAGATAATATTAAACTGTTAAATTTTTGATGATTAAGAGTTAGATTAGAAGCAACCTTGTGTTTTCTGTTAAATATTCCGTAGACAATACTTGTTCAAAATAATGTAATTTCAAATATATTACCTACATCCATAAGCTTTTCATTGGGTTTACTCTCGTGCTTCTAGAATGTTTTGGCTTGGCCTTGTGTACTTATATATCCTACGCAATGAATGTGATTGTTTCTGATAGTTGCTTGGATGGCTTCAGTTATAGTCAAGTTAACTTCAGTGTTGTAAAATTCTGGCAGAATCACAGAATTCAAAATAACTTCATAATTAACAGAAAAATTGTCTACCCCAATAGACAGCATTTTAGCTTGAAGCTAGTGAATATGTTTGACACTCTGCAACAGCAAACAAAAATTAAAAAAAAAAGAAAAAGCAAAAAAATTTACAAGTTAGAGGAGATAAGAAAATAAGAAAAAATGTCACAAATACAGTAATTACTTGTCCCGTCAGAATTGCAGTTCGTGATGGTTGTAGTTAATGTAAATGTACACTTAATGCAAAACTACAAGTAAAAGAAAACTACCAAAAAAACTAGAACAAAACAAAAACAGTTAATAAAGAACAAAAAAAGTTCAAACTGAGTTGTGATAATTGATTTACTTAAGTCACAAGTGAGCTTTGTGTTAAAATGGCTGAACACAGTTTTTGATACCTGTGTTTCGTTCACCTTTTTCTCTAAAACCAACGATCCTTCGGTCGCCAAAAATGGCAACACAAGCGAACAAAACAAACTTCGTTTTTTCGTATGTGCCATTGCTATGGCAACATGAATGAATATAAACAGGTCTTTAAAATCGGTTTTGTTTGTTTGCAGAAAATCTAGTCATTGGATTTTCTTTATCATTTGCATGCAGCAAGCTTGTAATGTTGCTCACAAGTTAACCCTATTTTAATAAGTTTAACAGAGAGCTCTTTAATTATCCCTTGTAGAATGTGAACTGGAATATCTAGAATTTCCTTTGTTAAATTTCAATTTTTTCCATCTTCCGATTACTTACTCCCTGAACTATTTTCATGCCAAATTTTGTGAATTCAATTGAGTGGTTCTCGAGAAATGGCGGATCTCTGAGAAAGCCATTCCACATTCAATCGCAATTTTTTTTTTACTTACTACACATGCTGCATTTAACTGGGTTCTTTCGGTAACAAAGAAAAATCTGAGAATTGCTGGGTTCTTTGCGTAGGGTTGTCACGCAACACTTCTCCCCCCCCCAGAAGTGTTGCGTGACGACCCTAACAACGGCTGCAAAGGAGACTAGTTAAAAGTCCTACTGAAGGAAAAAACCAAAATAGCCAGTCCAAATAGTTCCTGTAACAGTGAAATATACAAACAACTCTTGAAATTAATTATTACTTTGAAAAATGAAGGTGAACTGTTCATGATCCTATTGTGCTCTGAACAAATGATACCAGTGAAAAAAGAGAATTGAATTAGAATTAAAAAGACATAGAGAACTTGCAATCACAAAACACTTGATGCAGGCATCCAAGGTAATCAAATCCCTGAACATTCCAAAGATCTCTTTTTTTCTTTAATACTATTGTCATCCCACTTTATGCACTGCTAGAATCCCATGGTGGAAAGAAAGTTTGGAGAAAATACTGTTGGGAGTAAGTGCCAGTTCTGTTGGATTCCATATCCACTGTTTCTATTTGTAACTGTAACATAGCATACTGGAAGCAGTAACTAAATAATATGTTTATTTCAGTGTCAGAGTCTTAAGCACTGCTGTGCTAGTTGAGGTCTGCATCACTATAACACTCTATCACTACAACATCACATACAGTCAGTGTTCCATAACAACCCTAAAAATTACATCACCTTGATCAAAATGCAGTCCTAAATGACACTGAACAAATACCAACATTACAACTGAACAATAGTAACATAGCAACATTGGTGTTTACAAACAATTACATAAGAACTAATTTTCCTAAGGAGAGAAATTTCACTGTTTGGAAACACTAATATGGCTAAGGTGATGTCATGAAAACTCTCCATAAATAATAGTAATAGGACTGAGTGGAGTCCAATTCAGTCTGTAATCATACGAGTGAATAACAAAATCGGACGACCACGAAGCAGGAGTCCGATTTGTTAATCACGAGTATGATTACAGAATGAATTAGATGACACGATGTCCTGTTACCAGTTAATCAAAACTATGACAAAATTCGAGAAACGAACAAACCATCGATTGAGCACTGAACGATTAAACGTTATGAATGAAAAACAGCAGTTTACTCAAACTGCACCACAACAGCGCATGCAAAATGACGCGCACTGTCCAATTACTAGCATGATGTGTACTGTCCAATTGATGCTCAAGTCGGGCTGCTGATAGTCAATCATGTTCAAGAATTTTGTTATAGTTTTGATTAAGACAGGTGGAGCACCATGACTCTTAACCCAGACTGCATCTGCAGGTAATGTTCTTGCCAATTTTTTTCAGTATGCTTTGACAGCATATCAGGCTAGTTTTGTCAAGCCACAGTTCACACACACACTTCCCCAAAGACTTCTCTGCACCCCACATTAGCCTTGGAAACAAGGCTACACGTTAAAGAATGGGAAGAACTGCATTTTTTCCATACCTCATTTCACAAACCAGTCTTCAACATCTTCATATGCAGATCCAGGATTTTTCAAGGGTGGGTGGCTGGTATCTTGGGGTTCCAGATTCAAATGGGCATGTACCAAAAACGTGACAATTTGATAATTGGAATCTACTGGTAATTGAAAACTATTAAACCAGAAGTACTAGCAATGTCACAAAGTAGAAATTGTCATGAGGTACCTGTCCTGAGTGTTTCCCTATATTTCGGCCATAATATTCACATTTTTCTTATTTTTCTTATTTTTTGTTCTTCCAAAGAGGGGTGGCTAGCTGCCCAATTTATCCCACCTTACCCCACCCCTAAATCCACGTCTGTTGTTACCCTTCATCAAATCAGGGGTTTTCATTTGGGTACCATGTGACCACAAAGAGAATATCACAGGTAAACGGTACAGGTAAGACAACTTTAAATTTAATATGGCTTGCAAAATTATGGTAACAGCATACTTGCAAAATGCTCAACCAAAGTGTTAATCCAATATTATTTCAACAAATTTAATGTTCAATTACTTACAAATCTGGCCTATCTATTTGCTAACATGATAGCACCAAATGTTAACACCAAATTTTGTATTACCGTTTTATATAAAATTTCATCATTATTAAATATACAAACACTGAATTTTAAACAAAGTACACAATATCTTTCAATATGCAAATGTACAAACTCTACAGAAGTTAAGCTTAAAACTCTTTGCATAATAGTCATAAATTTACATTTTACAATCACAATGAACAGAACAGGCAACTGTCATAAAAATGGTGTCCATAATCATGGTAAAGAGGAAGAAGGAGTACAGCACTATAGATATGAATGCAGGTTTACTTGAGTGTACTGTTATCAGATCCTTGGCAGATCATCAGTACTTTTCAGTTCTGATTACCAGCAAGTTTTCATTTGATACATGTGATACTAACTACACATTTGAAAGCACAGAACATAAAAAGCCATAATAAATTAGCTTAGATATCATATTGTTAACAGGTTTATTCAGACAGTTGCCTAGTTTGTCCAGCTGTGCCACAGAAACATTACAAACATGGTCCTTGTTAAACACAACAGACCATAACTTAAAATGACCATAACTACAAATCACCAATTTCTTCAATTCCTTCACTCTCAGTGACCAAGGCCCGCTCCAATATCACTTGACCTTCCTACAAGTATGGTGCAACAGAACACAGTCAACTTAAAAGGGGTTCAATATTGAAGTCCACAGGATGGTTTGCCATGAGACAAATGCAATGATAGCTATTAAACTTCAGGGTTTAATTCCAGATAAACATTAATTCTGTTTAAAAACAACTGGT